AAAAGAAAAGAAAACTGGGCTAAATATAAATATTGAGATTTTGTATTAAATGGAATTGGCTTAAAAAGAAGAAGAAAAAAATGTTTTGCGGAATTTTTTAAACTTTTTTTTTTTTATTAATTTTGATATATCATCCATTTAGAATTATTAATTTACAGTCAAAATAATTCCTATCTGTAATGCACCATTTTTGTATAGTTTATCAAAAATTTTTGTACTATACATGATTCATTAATTAATATTCCATGCTTTAGCTCTATGATCCCAAATCCAAATGGTCATTTTTAAAAAGAGAAATTACATAATTTGCATTGTTTCATTAATAATTTTTTAAGAGTTGTCTCCTGTCTATTGAATACTACAACTTTTATCTTTTGAGAAGACTCTTCTTTATTTTTTTTAAAGCTATAGTGGTGTTTTAAAAGATGGAACTCGTCAAACGTGGTAAAATGTATCAATCTTCAGGGATTGAGACATCCGCCATCTTTTCACTCAAACAAGACAACATAAAGATGATGCTCGTTGAGAGACGAAAGAGTAAGCATCTATTCGATGAACAGACGCTTCTTCTTCAAAGATAAAAATAAAGCCCGTCAACACAAGAGAAGAAACCAAAACAAACCCCAACCCAGTAAATATGTAAAGAAGGAAAAAAAAAAAAACCGAACTTACATCCTGGAGGAGGGGATTCCTTTCTGAACTGGCTGAACGAGTGCAGTACCGAAGGTGGAATAGTGGAGGTGGCCATATCTTGTTTGATAATCCGTTCCAATAAAAACGGACCCGTTGCAAGACAATAGAAAAACGAATCAGAAGCGACACTCGATCGAGTCCGGTTGAGGGATATCTTCTAAATGAGGAACAGTGAGGTGATTGAAAGAGTTATGGCGGTGGGTTGCAGAGACGGGTCGAGGTCGTCCGTGGGCCAAAAGAGAGCGCCTTAAAAGGATTGTAGAGTGGGAGGCCGCGAGCAAGGGCACGTCTGCATTGCGAATAATCGTCTTGGATGGATTCAATTCGGAGGAAAGAAATGTGTGACGCTATTTGCGTCTTTCCGATCGGTTTATTAGGAAAGCGCATTTGAAGAAAGATAATAAGGAAATAAAAATTGTGATTCTTTTTGTTTTTTTCTGACATATCTTCTGTATGTGGGTGTGTATAATTAAAAAACATTCACCACTTATGGGAAAAATGAAATGGTATTAAGTAGAATATATCATTCCCGTTATACTATATTAGTTTTAGCAGATATTTCATTTGCTGCATTTATCTCAAACAATGCTTAAAAAAAAATGTTATGGTTAAAACAATTATCTGGTTATTCTGTATAAGTAACCAATTTTAGCAGATATTTCACTTCGCTGTATTCATTTCAAAAAATGCCGAATAAAAACTGTTATGGTTAAAACAACTATACGATCATTCTGCATATGTAACCAGTTATCAATCTCTGAATGTAAAAGTTTAAACTAAAACGTTAAAATAATGAAACAAAAAGAACAATAAGAACGTTTTAACAAAAAAAATTACTAAATGAATATCAATATAAAAAACAAAATCTTAAAACGAACATGTTACTCAAATATTGAAAAATTTCATTCATGATAAATTCGTACTGAAATTAGATGTATTTATTTAATTAAAAAAAGGATGAATTATAATTTTTTGGTTACCTGTTATTTTAAACTCTACATAAAATGGACTTATCCGTGAAATAAGTTTAAATTTATAAAAAATACCAATACACCCACATTCTACCTCTGCAAGTAAATTTTTATGCTATATATAATTTTAAACAATTTAAAAATACTAAAATCAATGTAAGTCTCTAAAATTGTAATAAATTTCAACAATAGAGTTTTTCAAAATATCCATTACAAATTGCTTAATGTTTAGGTTCTTAGAACAATATTCTTTTTCAATCTTAAAGTATGTCGCAGTCTTCTGTAAATAAAGTAATTACCCGTTTATAATTTTCAAATTAAATATTTTTTAAATAATCTTTTCAAAATGTTAAAAACAAAAAATCTTACAACAGGTACACAAAGACACTAAAAAATAAATAATTTAACAATTAAAGAAAATATATAATATAAATTAATATTCTATGCGAGGTTCAGCAAATGAGTCAGTTAATGTAAAAGTAAGAAAATAATTCCTTTATTTATGTATTCAATTTTTTGTTTTAAATAAATTTTCTTATTATTGAAGCTAATTTTTTTTTTAACACTAACATTTTTTTTTTTTTTTTTTTTTTTACCTCTAAATACGTAAAATGCAACAAAGATTTTAGAAGGCATTTTGTATTTTATCAAGAAATAATTTAATCTTCTGAAATTAAATTTACATAACATTAATTTTACGTAGAATGTTTAATACCAAAATCTAAAATTTAAGAATAATCAAAAAGTTTTCATTAAATTTAAGAATTTTAAAAAATTGAATTTTAAAATTAAAAAGAAATTATTTATTTAAAAAATATATTAATAAATGAGAGTGATACAAAAAAATTTAAATTATTTTCCTTTTTAAATAATATCTAAAGAAGAACATTAATTAGTAAAATCTGTATTAATGTTTTAAGAATTTCACAATAATTAATTGGAATATTTATCTTAAACACATAAATTTATAAGGTCAAGGATTAAAAACATTGAAAACTTTTAAAGCGCAGCGCCTTTTCTAAAATACACTTGATTTTTTTTTTTTTTTTCAGAGATAAAACTGACTTCAAAACCCAGAAAATGACTTTTTTTTCTAAAAATAAACAAATCGTTATTTATTTATCTTGCAACTTAAACGCTTTTCATAACACACGCCAACATTGTAATCTCCGTAAATGAAAAAAAGTTATGTTAACACAGAGGAATAAATACATCTTGTATTATGTTTGAGGATAAAATTCAATTAAAAATTAAATGATTTATTTACTTAAAAAAAGTTTTTTTTTTCCTCTACTTACGTATTTTTATGGACATCAAGAACTTCATACCATATTAATATATTCAGTTATGACAAAATTCAAAAAAACAAATTCTAATTTATTTAGAAAGAAATGTATAAAAAGTTCGTCTGCAGAAAATGTAAAAACAAATGGAATTATATTAAATAGAATGGCATGGTTCATAGAGCATTGTATGACGTCATAACCACAATGAAAAATGATGAACAAAGCAAATAGAATAATGTTATCTTAAAAATTTATTTCAATTACATCCATTACTTTAATTTTTCAGAATGAAGATAAAATATTATTTTAGAATGTTCTATCACTCGTTAAATTATTTTGTTTATGTTATTAATAAATTAGTCAAATTTTTATAAAGATAAACAAATTTAAAAATTAGAACTATTATTAATGATACAAAATATTTTTATATTCACCTTACCCAAAAATTCAAGATCCTTTGAAAAAATTTTCTTTACATCAAAAACAGAATTAAAACATTCGGAACCAAATATACTAAATGAATAAAATAAGCGCCATATTCGACATTCCAACTTTAAATGCCTCGGGCAACGTGTAGAAACAACTAATATAAACTAATGATTTTTTTTCTTCTTCGTGTAAGTAGGCAGGGAGCTGCGTGGGATCAACAAGTATTTACGATTGCCATGGATCGTGATTGGAAAATAATTTAGCTTTTACGGGGGCAGATGAAAAAAAAAATTCATTGCGAACGGCAAGTTTAAAATATACATGACAAAAATGCCCAGATGAATACAACAACAAGCGTATATCAACGCCTTTTAAAAGGGTAATTTATTTAAAAGGCTAATTTAATATTTCAGAAGTAGTAAAATAATTTTCATTTACAAAAACAACCTTTCAAAATTTGAGATTTCAACTTTTTTCGAACTCTAGATTTCATATTGGTTTATGAACAGTGTTTCTGCAAATTATCGATAAAGTCTAAAATTGTGAAATAAGAATATTGAAAAATCTAAAGAACCGAATTTGATTTGTCTTGCTTTTGATGATATTAAAAATGTAAGGAGGTAGAGGAAAAAAAACCATATAGATAGTAACATGGGAAAAATACAGGAGATCACGACATTAAGTTAACGCCGTTGTAAATTGTATTTAACATGTGAATTATTTTTTTTAATGAGTTCAAGTAACTATTGGGCCTGATAGCCGAGTAACTAGCGGTCTGGCGCTCGGTGCCACAAGTTTCGGGTTCGAGTACCGGTGGCTCCATGGATGTTTATAGTGATTCGGAATCCCCTTTAAACCGTAGGTCCCGGTTTAATATGACTGATAAGCGTAGGGCCGACAAATAAAAAGAAAACATCTGTCTCGAAATCTGCCAGTAGGCAGATGGCATTTGCCCACCATGGGGCTGTTGCTCCAATGACGAAAATACGTAACTATATTTTACTCGAAGATAAACTCGAAGATTTGACATTTTTCTGTTAAAAAAGATAGTGAGAAATACAAAATCAAATTTAATATTAAGTAGTATGTTTTTCGATAAGTTACCATGCTTTCACGTTTCAAGTATCGCTTATTTGACAACATTCAAGTAAATTGCATATATATATATATATATATATATAATTCTTCTGTACATATGTTCGTCGCTGAACTTCTCTCCTAAGTGGCTTGACCGATTTTGATGAAATTTTTTTGTGTGTGTTTGACAAAACATGGAGAATGTTTTTTACGCTATCCCCTTTGTTGTAAGTCGCCACCAGAGGGTGCTGCAGTATATCAACTTATGTTGTTGTTGTTTCTTATCCCACTTGGCTGGCCAAGCCCACAAGCCCATATGGACTCATGATTGAAGGGAAAGGAAGCAGCTTCTGTTGTGATGGAGCACCCGTAGGTAGAAGCCTAACTTTTGCTCCGTGACGCTCTTACAGTCATAGGAGACCGGGACCTACGGCTTAAAGTGGATTCCGAACCACTACAAACATCCATGGCACCTCCGGGGTTCGAACCCGAAACCTGTGGCACCGAGCGCCAGACACTCGGCCATTCAGGTCCCTAATGTGCCAACGGCACGCAGTGTTCCCAGGTGGTCACCCATCCAAGTACTGACCGCGCCCAATGATGCTCAACTTCGGTGATCTAACGAGATATCAACTTCTATATCATTCAACCAATCGCAATGAAAATTAATAAAAATATGCATTCGAGTATGGAAATATTCGCGCTATCCACTTTATTGTTACTTGTTACCAGAGGGTGCTGCAGCATTTCATCTTATAGACCGTTCAAATGATAACAATGAAAATGAGTATGCACATATATTTGAACATGGAGAATAGATTCGCGATATGTAATTTTTTAGAATGCATTTTTTTTTTTTTTTTCAGGACGTATGCCGGGTTCTACTACTGTATATAAATGTATCATATGAGTGCTTGATCGTCAAAGCTGCACTAAAGCACAGGTTTATGAGGATCTCTGGCTCTATAAGATGAAATGGGATTTTGCCAAGAAAACACTAACATAGGAACCATTTTGAGCATTACACAGAAAGCAAACCGAAAAACTCTAACCAGATAATTAAACTGCCAATGAAAAATACTCAATCAATTCTAAACGTTTTTTTAAACACGGGACCGTAAAAAGCGCGCCTCTTGCGAAATCAAAGCGTTGATTTATGAAATAGCAGAAAACCGAAACAGATTCCTAATTGCTAACTTTTCCATCTTTCAATTTTATAATTAAAATCTAATGAAAACTGCACTTACTTTAATTTTTCTCTCTTTCTTGCCTTCGCTTCTTCGTCGTTTACAGCTTTATAAAAGTTCTGACATTAAAAAGAAAATTGTCAGAAATGCTGAAAATCGTGATATGTTTTATCTTATCACTATCATTCCAGATTAGTCATCCCAGTATCGCAAAGGCAACTAATAAGAGGTCAAGTCATTATTTAAAAAGAAAAAAAAAAAATACAGTGTTGAGAGATATGCAGCAAATACATTCCCTCCTTCTTCACAAATAAATTCTCATGTTCATTTCTTAAGTTGGAAAGGCTACGACCTTAGATGACACAATAGAAGAAAAGGGGCCATCTAATTTCTACGGAGCCTCTCATACACAACATTGACTTGTAAATGTGAAAGTGACTTTCATACTTTTATGTTTAAATTAACTTATTTAAAGCTATTCTACATTATTTCAATTAAAATATTGACATTTTAATGCTAAACTATCAGTTTTCCAACGCATCAATTAAAATTTTTGACTAAATAACAAAACAAAAAAAAATCGTTCTAATATTTCAAATTTGTATTTTTTTTTATCTTCCTTTTTTCGATTAAGTAAGAAATGAATTTAGTACTTTTCTCTAAAAAATAGAAATTCTTATGTCTGAAAATTAAATTTAAAAAATTGTTTTCTCTTATATTCGATTAGAATTCTAAGAAATTCGAAATTGAATAAAACAAGCAAGAAAAAGAAAATGAATTTTACTTATTTAATTTACGTTAATAAAATGAAATCAATTGAAAATAAATAAATTGGTATAAAAAATAAATGAGCCAATTTACTTTTGAGCTATGTTATTTTCAAATGTATCTGTTGAAAAGGGAAAGGACAGACAACATATTTTCTACAGATGAAAATTGAATCACTTAAGCAGAAAAATCAACAAAAATAATATGATTATTATATAATTTATTTTCATATAATTTAATACAAGAATTTTTAGGTTACACACACTGTAATTATTGCAAAATTCACAATAATATAAGAATAAGACGAATTCAACAAGAAGCATTTTTCTTTGTTAAGTGGGGCGTAATGGTAAAAGTGCCATGTGCTCTATGCAATTCAACTGGGTTAATATCCGAGATTTTTTACACAATTTAACCTTAAGTTTCCAAGTTTTTTCATTGAATCTGAAATCATGTTTAATTCAGAATGCCTATAAAGAAGATGTTACTAATCCCCTTGGTGCAGGAAAACCTACACCAGGTCCAGAAGACCCTAATTCAGGCGACAGAGATATGGCTAAGGGTAACATGCAGCTCCACTTTAGCGAGGAGCCACGAGGGTTGAAAAACTAACTAGACCTCCCAACAACGTTCTACGATCCTATTAGACCAGGGCCTACGGTATAAAATGGATTTCGAACAAACTTAGTCACTAGATTGTTACCAAGAAATAATGGACATTTTTTTTAATGCCTTACAACTTCCTAATTCCACTTTTTATTAATAAATAGAGTCTATTATATAAAAAAAAATGACCCTATTTATTTTAAAGATAGTAGGGAAAAAAATATTTATAGAAGAAAAAAATTAAATGTATTAAATGTAAAACTGTAACTGAATGTTTTTAACTGCTCAGTAATACAATGAATGTATTTCCACGAAACGGATTACACAATGGCCATTTAAACTGTTGCATGTCCATGACAGATGCGAAATGTTTTCAACTGCCATTGAAAAATTCTGATGTCAAAATGCTTAACAAGACACGCAGAACACAATGCCTTCTCGGATAACTCTGAGTGAACGGTTCTCTGCACGAGTAGCAATACCTTAACGACCCTGTATAAATAAATATAGCCCACTGCGACAGAAGAATTGTAACAGAAATTTTCCCCAACTCCCACAAGTTCAGAAATAAATAAAAAGCAAAGAACCGAAAAAGAAGATACAAATATGTGTACGCAATTGTTAACTCGGAGGTGTCGAAGCATTTTGGAATGGAGCCAAACGTCCCACTTTCTAACAAAATACAAAAGTAAAAAGAGAAAGAAAATAAATAAATAAATAAGAAACTCCATGCACTCATTCATGCCTGCATCGGACGCCGCCGTTTCATTCCGCTGAATTTTAAACAAAACAGACTTTTATCTCTCTTCGAAGAGCTCAGGGGGAAGATTTCTCGAAAACCGAAATGCAAACGCGAGTAAACAGAACATTAAAATTCTAAAAAAAGAATTCGGGTCAGGAGAATTCTCATCACCAAACAGATTCAGTTACAGTCGCAGAGGGAAGATGAAAAAAAATAATAAAACTAAGCTTAAAACTTTTAACTATCTCGGTTTTAGGTTGTGGCAACAAATCGTTGGAGATTTGAGAACTCCACATAATAATGTAAACATCAATTGACAGCTAGAGATATCCGTTTCGAGACATCATTTTTAATGAAATACTACAACTTTGATTCAGTATCTGGTTACAGTTAAGATGCATTCTTATAAAATATCAAGAATTTTTGACGTCATCAAGTTATCTGCAAATGAAGAGCAAGTTATTTTTACTCGACTACTCCAAGCGATACTGAAACGATCCATAAAAGAACTTAATTAAATGAAGACAATATAATTATAAAAAATACTGAACATTAGCATTTCAAAATGCAATCAGGATGATATTTTCGAATATTTAATGCATTCATAACTAGTCTATTTTATTGGTGTTTGTAGTTTTAATGTCATATACTGGTCATGATAAATGTGCATTGGAATTTTTTTTTTTTTTTTTTAAATGTAAATTGGGAACTCTACATAATAATGTAACATCAATTGACAGCTACAGATATCCGTTTCGTGACATCATTTTTAATGAAATACTACAACTTTGATTCAGTATCTGGTTACAGTTAAGATGCATTCTTATAAAATATCAAGAATTTTTGATGTCATCAAGTTATCTGGCAAATGGAGAGCAAGTTTATTTTTACTCGACTATTTCAAGCGATACTGAAAAACAACTTCATAAAAGAACTTAATTAAAGGAAGTCTTAATATAATTATAAAAAATACTGTATATTAACGTCTCAAAATATAATGAGGATGATATTTTCGAATATTTGATGCATCGTATCTAGTCTATTTTATTGGTGTTTTTTATTGTCATATACTCGTCAAGAGAAATGTGTATTGGAATATTTTTTTTAATGTTAAGGTCATAGCCAAAAAGGGATATATCATTTAAGTTTCAAATGACCAGGTTAGTTACAAGTCTGTATCGTCAAAAACAATCAATATAACCTTTAAAACCAAGCAACTGTCACAATTAAAAGAAAGAACAAGAAATAAATGCTAGGAAGGTAACATCTATAATCTTCCCAGATTAAACCAGAAGTAGTGCTGTTGCTGCCTTTCGTCTAGCTACAATGTATGGCTGGTTATATGCACACCTTCACAGGTTCAAAAATAATTGATAGTCCTGCCTGTCCCCTCTGCTGCAATGTACGCTGAGCATGAACATTTTAGCAGCAGGACAAAAATATTAACAAATATGTCAAAATCTCTACAAATAAGTTACTCTGTGGCGCCATTTCATAACAGAATAATGCATGACAATAAATTTTATGCACGGCAATAAATGCATCAAATTTATTTTTAAATTAGGCTAAGAAAGTAAAGGGAGAAAAATATTTCAAGTGGATAACAACATTTTAAAAGATTCCAGAAATTATCTCTAGAAGACAGATAAACAACAGATAGCTGATAAACACACCCAAAGATTAAATTTAAAAGAAACACTCGACTCGATTTTGCTAGTACTTAAGATAATATAAATAGTTTTCACTAAGATCATATACACAAATCGAGGTCTGAAAATTTATTATATACAAAATATTTTTTTATAATAATTAGTCAAAATTAAACACTAAAAAAAATTCCATGCAAGAATGCGGTCTTATTTGTACCTCTTTACTTGGTGATGCATTTCATAGTACAAAGAAACATAAGAATTACCATCATTATATATTTGATAAAAAGTGTAAATGCGTCTCATGCAAGTTTTTAACTAAAAAAAATGCAACGCAATAATTGATATCAAGGTCAAGAGGTCTCACGAAATCTACGGAAAGATAGCAATGAAATGCAAGAAAACATATCACATTCGTTCTTTCATTTTCATATACAATACTAACTTTCCAAGAAATATATTTTTCTGTCCAAAACATCATTTATTGTTTGTGAATTGCTAACGATTTACAGTTTTGTCGTTGCAGCTTTTCACGTGCACAGTATTGTAAGTTATTACGCACCATTGTCATTCCTAACATGAAAATAATGAACTGGACGCACTTATTTTTATGTCCGATGAAGCTACACTGCACAAGGACGTCAAAATGACGGAATTACTGCAGCGAAAATTTGAC